AACCCCAAGCCGAGGATGCGGTCTTCTCATGTTGCGCTGCGTTCACGCACTTATCCTGCCTCCTGCAGTGCGCACTGCGTCACGGCAGCGGCCTTACCTGCAAAGCTGCTGTCGACCACCTGCCTTCAATCGCTTCTCGATGCCGCCGCCTAGCACGCACCTCCGGCGCATGACACGGCCTTCACCGCTATCCGTGACTGCTCCACCCGCACCTTCTCACGAGCAGACACCCCTGCACCGGCCGAACCGCTCCACATCCGTGCCGTCTGCTGCCGTCGCCTCGCATTTGCTACGACGTCGCGACGACGATGACGACGACTTTTATGATCATGTATTACTCCTCCGGTTTGCAAGAACAGGTGGTTGCAAGTCCCGCAAAACGATAGGGCCCCTCCCAAAAGCGACAACCCATACTATTTCCTCATGTGTTCGCACGATGGCCAGCCGCAAGGGCGCTCAGCGGATGAAGACGGGGCTGCGCCGGCCGCCGCTGTGCCCCGACGTGCCCGGAGATGCTCCGCAACGGTCTCCAGCGCCTCGTCGTACCGGAGCCTTGGCTCTCGTTCGCGACGTTGGACTTCGTCGACGCTGCGAGGCCCAGCGCCCTTCCAGCACCAGCGGGGCCGGAGTAGGTAGCACCGCTTTAGGTTCTTAGCCGACTCAGGACCGTATAACCCTGTGGCAGATGCAAAAAAGACGGGAAAACACGGCCCGAGAGACCCCGGTGATGACGGGACCGCCGAACCCGGGAGAATCGAGAGTGGCGGGAAGGTAAAGGTAGAATCGTAGATTTAAAATCGCTGGTGCCAAACGTGGGAGGCTTCCGATGCATTTTTTGGTCTGAGACCGAAGCGGTTGGATTGGTGTGAGGTCCTTGCCGCACATGACAAAGACGAACAGCTGGATGTGAACAAGGCCCCTTTCACACTTGCGCTGCAAGCACGACCTCAAACGGCACCATTTGCTCTGAGGACGGGGTTCGTGACGTGGAGGCCATGAGCAGTCAGGAACTGGTTGAGCACAAGTCCAAGCTGGTTCTGACGAGTCTGAAGCCCAAATCATGCCCTTTTTCTACGTGAGCCATTCAACCCAGGATTGAAAGTCGCTGATTAGTTTTCCCTGAGGTATCAAAGATCCCAAGCGACTCCAAAGCGCTGTGGGTAATTTGTGGTCTGCGTGGCTAGCAGTTGTCGCTACGTGCTTCGACCGCAAACGGGAAAGGTAAGCGTAGATCGTTTTTTTCAATGCCCGCTTGTATTGCCAATTGGAACAGATGCATGAAGCATGCCAGGTTGAGTTTGAAGTTTGCGCAGACCACGGCATATGCATTGGCAATTGCGGAGATGTTGAAATATCCGGCTCGCGGCCAAGTCCTTGCGAGTGCCTGCCGCTTGTTTTCTGTTCGGTTTGTGCCAGGTAACGCGCTACACGGCACCCGTTTTGGCGCACCTTGTTTGCAATGGAACGCACAAGGTTGCCGAAAGCGTAAATCGTTTGGCTTCACAGGCTGGCAATGTCATGGTTTGTCCTGCAGGTATTCTTTGGGACCCGATCTCGTGAAATGGGTAGACGTCATCATTGACAGCGTGTTGAAGGCACACTGCCATGTCTGCCTCAGTTGCACAATATCGGCTGCGCCTGGTCAGGCTATTCTGATCTTGATCGTGTGGATCTTCGCAAAGATGAGGCCGTCACCTGAGTTCCGAAAACATTGGATTGGCTTTTGCAGATGCCTGAGGAGCTGATGCCGTGTGGTATGCTATTACATGAACTCTGTATGTCGGCCTCAGTGTCATTGGTTTGGGGACCACACGTGGTATCACGTGATAACGCTTTTAATTTCCCGCTTCGGCAATGTTCTGGCACAGCTACTGAGTTTTTGAAACAATGCACCAGCAATCGTCAGCACACGAACATGTAGTTTTCAGTAGCATAGGTTTCACCCTTGTTGGGCATGCCAGCATGGATCGACACGTGGCAAGAGACGCTTCGTGTGCAGCGCCAGACACTCCGCAAAAGCGCAAGGAAAACGGCCTTGCCACATTGGAGCGCCGCAGGGATTTTCCAGGAGAGGCCCCGCAAGCATCCACCGAAGTCTGAAGTGTTCGAACTGGGGCTTACCAGTGCGGACCGAGGGAGCCGAGGTGCCAGACTGAAGCATCATCGGGCGGTGCTAGGCGGGAGAGGTGCCGACACGGCCCACGGGTTTGCCCAAAGACTGAAGGAGGATGAGGAGGAGGATGAGGATGATGAAGACGACGAAGATGAGGATGATGCAGACGAAGATGATCCCCGAGGAATATTCGAGCAGAAATTGGCAGGAAACATATTCAGCCAGGCGACGACCAAGCAAAGTTTGTTGGTTAAGCCGGCATTGGTGGTTGAGCCGATTGAGTCGACGCCAAACGAGGCCGTAAAGCTAGCGAGTTCCATCCGTGAGGAAATGCTCGGCCTCTGCAGACAACTGGGGCTTGCACCACCAGTGTCAACCTTGCAGCACGAGTTGCAGGAAAGTTTGAGCGTTCCAGCAAAAGAGGCGATCTGCAGAACACTGCCCTCAGCAAGTGCATCCGCACGGAGACAGGGAAAGCGTGCAGATTTGGCCTCGCAGTTGCGCGAGCACACCCTCTGTCGTGCCCGCCGTGAAATGAGATCCAAGCGGTCTGCCTCTGTCCAGACCGCTGCAGTTTATGATTCCGGTCATCAGGTTGACAAGTCGCAGCTAAAATCTGTTGTCGGACCAAAGAACCTGGAACTGACTCGGCAGTGGGAGGTTTCCTCGGATCGCAGGGCCTGCGAGGATTCGTCAGAAATCCAGCTCGAAGACCATTCGTGGGGCGAAATAATTGTTCAAGGCACTCGGGATTGCCAGGATGTTCGGCCCAAGACTACTGACCCCGCAGACCACCAGGGTGTGGCGGCGGTGCAGCCGCGTCAACTCCCCGACGCAGTGACGCGCCCCGTTAGTCGGGACGCTCAAGTCGAGAACAGCACATCCAACCGGATTCAATATCGGCATTCTCAGGAGGTTGTCGTCGAGGCAATGCGTGCCCCATCATCAGCAGAGCAGATACGGATGCGCCTGGCCGCTCCTGTAGTGCATGGCTTACCTGGCCGTACGCCTGCGGAACGTGGATGCGACAAGGCAGCTTCGACAAAGCTTGCCCAAAACAGACCCGGACATGACTTGGCTTGTGTACTTCAACATGTGCCAGAGCATCGGCACGGCTTGTATGATGTGTCGGTCATACAGGCACTCCGGCGGAAGGCCACCCGAAAAGCTGGAAGCACAATCGAGCCACGCACTGTGGTAATGGATGACAGTCGTGAGCTGCTCGATGCGCCAGGCTCACACAAAGCACAGGATGACGATGTGCTAGAACCTGCGTCCCCGGGACAATTGGCGGGCTTCGATGAGGCCAGAACGGCCACTCTGAACACAGGAGAATCTGCAGCCGAAGAACGGCCGCTCGAGTCACGACATGAGAACGATCGTCAATTTCTGATGGCGGACAGTCCGGCCAGCGTGGGATGTATTCCGGAACTACGCGAAAAGCTGAGCCCTGCTCAGATCCCGAGTGGCCTCACAGAGCGACAGGAAGATGTGCAGGATGATGGATGTTCAGTGGCTTGTCCACAAGCAGAGGCACAGACAGAGCCGAAAGGCTTTGCATCAGACTCCGATGCACCGGTTGCATCTCCGCTGTCCCAAGCTTCTGCGGTCCGAGAGCTTCCTCCTTTACCCGCGTATCGTCCACTGCCACGCCTGGAAGCGACCGAGACGGGCATTCCCGCAAAAACGCGGCCATTGGCCAAGGAGTTGGAGGAGCGGTTCTACGGGAGCCTGCAGGTTTTGGACAGCGTGCAAGAGCACCTCTCTGTTGTCGACCTCTTGGCCTCGCAACGAGCGCTTCAGCAAGAGCAGAGATCCGCACTCGCGACTTGGCTCCATAGCTTGCTTTGCCGGATTCTTTTCCAATGTGCCAGCTGAGGAAAAGGCTCTTGAAGAGGACTGTCGTATTTTGCACATCCGTAACTCTGCCTCGCATCCAGCACTGCATGATCCCGCATGACATGTGCTGGTATCCTGGTCGCCCTTGTTTCTGTGCTTTAGCGAGGAGCGCTTGGCGCTCCTGGGAGCGCAGCAGTCGCAGGAACAGCACCTGCAGCAGGCGAGGCGGCAGGGAGCGGCTCGGGCTCTGGCGCTCAGAAAGACGAGACTTTATGCCAGAAGGGCGTGTTAAACTCGGGTGTACGGGTGTGCATGCCGTCAAATTGGGCCGATTCAGCACTGCGCTTTCGCTGCAGGGATTGCAGAGATGCAGTATGTGGCAATTTTCGACACGACAGGGTTGAAGCAAGCCGCACTCTCTAATAGGGAGGTTTCTGGTTTGAGTTTGAATCGCCCAGCGTGGCACAGTGAGGGGTCTCTGAACTGTTCGCGACAGGCCCTTGACTGGCTAGAAAAGCAGCGGACTGAGCAATTGGCAGCGCTCTTGCAGCAGGCGCAGTGCCTCGAAAGCAAGTGAACTGGATTTTTGGCGGCGACAGGAGCACAATCAAACTTCGCAAGGGTAGGGGCCACAACACAGAGAAGAAACAAACGCACATGAAAGACTCCGAAGCGGGTATGTGCGAGACGCTCAAGCATTTCAGGTCTTCCGAGCTCGAGCTCGCTCGAAGAAAAGCAGCCTTCGACGAGGAATTGGCAGCCAAGGAAAAGCTGCGCCAGGCCATGATGCTCCGTGATGCACGCTTTGCCTTCTTCCGTTCAATCAGTTCTGATTTAGCCGCATGCAGAGCAAGCTTGCAGGAGGCGGAGGCCTTTGAGAGGGAGACATTGCAGCGGGAGAGAGAGGAGCTGGAAAAGCAGAAGGCTCTTCTCTTTGCACTGAGCCTTCAGCGGAATTACGAGGACCAAGCGGCGAAGAAGAACAGTTACGGGTTGGGAGGGTCTTATCAAACAAGGCCCGATTGAATATCAGGCCCAACGTAAGCAGCATCACGGAGCCAACACTCCAGAGCATAGCCTGTTGTTTCAGTGCG